GTCCTCGCTCGAGCGCAAGTCTTGTCGCTCCAGCTTGCCTCCAAACACACAAGCTTCTGAGAGCATGCAATTTACGCTCGAGCCAACTTTTTGTCGCTCGAGCGAAAGTGTGAAAATAAAGGTGGTCGCTCGAGCGTGGAAACAAAATTATGGGTTTTCCAAATTTGCTCCCAAAGTTCAAAACATGAATTCAACACTCGAAAACTCATCCTTTTGGGCTAAAATTCTAGAAAACACTTGGAAACTCACAACGCATCATGATTTAAAGATCATTTCATGAAATCAAAGCCCAAAAGCATGCCAATTGTACACAAATTCAACTTAAACTTTATGAATGTTTCAAGAATATAACATGCACGAATTCTCTTGAACTCCACCACTTCAAAACATGATCAAACTTGCCAATTAATAGAAAACATGATGATTTCCTACAATTAAGCTCAATTTGTGACATGCATGAGAAAATTCTTAGCAAACATGCTCCAAATGTAATGAAATGAACATGCATGCATGGAATAATCTTGCTTCCTACTTCTTAAGCTTAATTCTTACATCTCATAGCTCAATTCACTTGAATTCATAGATGAATCAACTCAATTTCAAGACTAGAGACTTGGCTTCTTATCTTAGATGTTCAATTGGGCCTTAGGTGCTAAATTCTTGAGCTAGATGATCAAATCTCCAAAGTTTCTTCTTTTCTCCTAGCAATTCCTCTTGTTTGAGTTCAATTCTCAAGTCTAGGACCCAAATCTTTCTACTCTCTCCCTCTCTCATGTTTGAGCATCTTTTTAAGGAGAATAGAGGTATAGAGTTGAACTAGTGGGGTCAATAAAATGGCTTACTATGTGGTAGATAAACAAAGTTAATCAAATGGCATCAAATTAATCTAATTTAATCATTCCGGACCGAATTTTAATTCAACCTACCATAAATTCTATAAATCCTAATTAACATATAAATCAAATCAATTTCTGAATCGGTTGCTGATAAGACTTTCAATTCGCAAATCGAAATCAAATCATGAACAGATCTTTCTACATCAAACAGATAAAAATGCATTTAAAGCAACACACTCATGTAATTAATTTAGGATTTCGTCTTAATCATTCACTTAGCATGCTTAATCGTGAATTAGCGTTAATCAGGAATTAGTATCAATCATGGGTCGGGGTTGTCACAGTCTCCCCCCTTTAAAAGAGTTTGGTCCTCTAAACTCGAATTACTTTCATTTTGGAAGAACACAGGATTCAAAGGGAACAATTCAGGATATCTTTTCATCATGTCTTCTTCCCTTTCCCAAGTTGCGTAAACGCCACCATGATTTTGCCTATCCACCTTTACCAATGGGATTTCTTTATTTCTTAATTTCTTGATTTATCGGTTTACAATCTGAATAGGCCGTTCTTCATAAGTGTAGTCGTCACTCAATACCACATGGGTAGGCTCAATAACATGAAAAGGATCCCGAAGATAGTCTCGCAACATTGAAACATGAAATACATTATGCATATGTTCTATCTCTGGAGGGAGTGCTACTTGATATGCCACTAGATTAATCTTTTCAATCATTTCATACGGCCCAACATACCTCGGTGCTAGCTTGCCCTTGGTTCCAAAGTGAGTTTGTCCTTTCATTGGTGTCACTTTAATAAAAACACGATTACCCACTTCATATTCCCTGTCTCGTCTTTGTACATTCGCATAGCTTTTCTGTCGACTTTGTGCAGTTTTCAATCTTTGTTGAATTAATTTCACCTTTTCTGTTGTTTCATGCACAATCTCAGGCCCAAGTAAAGGCCCATCTCCAACTTCTGCCCAACAAATAGGTGACCGACATTTTCTACCATATCATGCCTCGAAAGGCGCCATACCAATGCTCGAATGAAAGCTATTATTGTAGGCAAATTCAACTAGAGGCAAATGAGTTTCCTAATTCCCTTGAAAATCAAGCACACACATACGTAACATGTCCTCCAGCGTTTGGATTGTTCTTTCTGACTGGCCATCGGTCTGAGGATGATATGTACTACTTAATCTCAATTCGGTACCCAATGCTATTTGCAGACTCTGCTAAAATCTTGATGTGAACTTCGAGTCCCTATCAGAAACAATGGACACAGGCACTCCATGCAATCTAACAATTTCATTGATGTAAATTTTAGCCAATTTATCCGCATTACAAATTGTTTTGATAGGTAGAAAGTGTGCAGATTTAGTCAAACGATCTACAATAACCCAAATTAAGTCCATACCTCTATTGGAATGAGGTAGTCCAACAATGAAATCCATGGTAACATGCTCCCATTTGCACTCTGGTATTGGCAAAGGTTGAAGCAACCTTGCGGGTCGTTGATGTTCAGCTTTGACTTGTTGGCATTGTAAGAATTTTGACACAAACTCAGCAATTTCTTTCTTTATTCTTGGCCACCAGAAGTTAAGCTTCAAGTCTTGGTACATTTTTGCATTCCCTGGATGAATAGAAAGTTTTGAACTGTGGGTTTCTTGCAAAACTCGCTTTTTCACGTCAGCATCATTTGGTACGCACAATCTACCTTGAAATTTGAGCACACCATGTTCAAAAACAAATCTCGACCTTGGTTTGGATTCCCGTTCATCAATAATCTTCTTCAAAAAGTCATCTTGTTGTTGTTTCTCTTTAATCTCCTCAATAAGTGCCGGTTGAGCAGAAATAGCAGCCAAGGTTCTGCCTTGCTCTCGCAGAACAATTTCAATCTCCAATTTCTCAAGGTCATGTAGTAATTCTCTTTGCTCGGTAAGTAAGCATGCCACATTCCCAATTGATTTCCTACTAAGTGCATCAGCAACAGTGTTAGCTCTCCTCGGATGATACAAGATTTGTAAATCACAATCTTTTATTAATTCTAGCCATCTCTGCTTTCTCATGTTCAACTCTTTCTATGTAAAGAAATATTTTAAACTCTTGTGTTCTGTGTACATCTCACATGTTGCCCCATACAAGTAGTGGCCCCAAATTTTCAATGCAAATACTACTGCAGCAAGCTCTAGATCATGAGTTGGATAATTCTTTTCATGCAGCCTCAGTTGTCGGGAAGCATATGCAATGACTTTACCATTCTGCATCAATACACACCCCAAACCCGTATAAGAAGTATCACTAAAAATAGTAAATCCATCCGTACCTGAGGGTAAGGTGAGAATCGGTGCAGTCACAAGTTGATTCTTCAATTCTTGGAAGGCTGATTCTCTCTGATCGGTGCAGTCAAATGGTATTCCTTTTTCAGTCAACTGAGTTAATGGCAAAGCAATTTTTAAAAAATCTTTCACAAATCTTCGATAGTACGCGGCCAAACCCAAGAAACTTTGGACTTCGGTAACATTAGTCGGTCTAGGCCAATTCACCACTGCTTCAATTTTCTATGGGTCAACTGATATGCCATCTTTACTAATCACATGGCCCAAAAGCATAACACTATCAAGCTAGAATTCACACTTTGTCAGTTTCGCATACAATTTCTTCTCTGTCAAGGTTTGCAAAGCAATACTCAAATGATGTTCGTGTTCCTCTTTACTTTTGGAATAAATTAAGATATCATCTATAAAAACAACTACAAATTCATCGAGGAATGGTTTGAAAATTTTGTTCATAAGATCCATAAATGCAGCAGACGCATTAGTAACTCCGAAAGGCATAACAAGAAATTCATAATGTCCATACCTTGTTCAAAAAGCAGTCTTTTCAATGTCCTCAGCCTTAAATTTCAATTGGTGGTACCCGGATCGAAGATCAATTTTGGAAAAGACTTGAGCATCTTGCAGTTGGTCAAATAAATCATCAATGCGAGGCAATGGGTACTTGTTTTTCACTGTCACCATATTTAGCTCACAGTAATCAATGCAAGCCTCAATGAACCATCATTCTTTTCCACAAATAAAACTGGAGCGCCCCACGGTGACGTGCTAGGTCTGATGAACCTCTTGTCTAACAACTCTTGTAACTGAATTTTTAACTCTTTCAATTCAGTAGGTGCCATTCTATACGGAGCTTTGGAAATTGGCTGTGCACCCGGTATCACCTCAATAGTGAACTCAATCTCCCTGTCAATCAAATCCCCTGGCAAATCATCTGGAAAAATATCTGAAAATTCTCTGACTATAGGAATACTGTCCACATTAGCTTTAGTATCAGTTGGCACAGTCAATATACAACATAAATATCCTTTACACCCCTTTTTAATCAATTTGAATGCTTTCATAGATGAAATCAAGTATAGGAGAGGTACAACACCAACCCCATCAAAACTAAATTCAGGTAATCCTGGTGGATGAAAAATAACTTGTTTTGTTACACAGTTAATGGAGGCATGATATTTTGTTAACCAATCCATTCCCAAAATTACATCAAAATGATCGAGATTCAGAGGTAGCAAATCAACCTATAAGAGCACATCCCCAATAACAATCTCACACGCAGGATACACATAAGCACAAGTCATAGATCCCCCAGCAGGTGAAGATACAACTAATAAATAGTTCATGGGTTCCAGTGGTCTATTTAATTTTTGTGAAAAGGCATGCGAGACAAACGAATGTGTAGACCCCGAATCAATCAGAATATAAGCATTTTGAGCACAAATTGAAAGTATACCTGACACAACTACCTCGGTATTCTGCACGTCTCCTGGTACAAGTGCAAACACCCGGCCTTGCCTCAAAGGTTCCTTTCTGGTAGCTTTGGGATTGGGTTTTGGTGTTACAGTTGATGCTGCAGCACTTGCTACGGGTTTACTAGTGCCTTGAGATGTGAGAGGACAATCTTTGACCATGTGGCCCACCTTGCCACACCTATAACATGCTCCAAAAATTTTGTAACAAACCCCTTTATGTCTTCTGCCACATTCTGGACAAGGTGATATGGAATCATTTCCTTGACTGGAGCTACTTGTTGACCCTGTATTTTGCTTTTTATTTAATGAGTTGTTCCGGCCCTTTTTGAAACTGAAACTTTGTCTCTTGCCCCGCTATTCAGTCATTGGTGCCTTAGACTGTTTCAATGTTACAACATTTGCCTCAGCTATGATCGCTTGGTCAAGGACATCTACATACTTGAGTAATTTTAAGATGTTAATTCGATCGAGTATTTCTACATTAAGCCCACCTTCAAACTTCCTAGCCTTTTTATAGTCGGTATCCACCATGTGTGGTGCGTATCGAGCGAGCTCGGTGAACTTAGATTCATATTTTGCTACTGACATGGTGCCCTGCTTCAGTTGTTCAAATTCAGTCACTTTGTGGTCTTGGACACACTGAGGGAAATACTTCTCATAAAAAGCTTCTTTAAACTGAGCCCAAGTCATAGCATTGTTTGTATCACGAATAAGCATCCACCACCGTCTAGACTCTTCTTGTAAGGTAAAAGTAGCCAATAACACTTTATGTGCCTCTACACATGGGAATACTTCAAACAGTTTTTCAGTTTTTGGGACCCATGCTTCGGCCTTCATTGGCTCAAGACCTCCTTGGAATGTTGGTGGCTTCATTTTGTTAAACTTTTGTGTCAAAGCAATCACATCGTCATTGGTATTTGGTTCTGGCTGCACTGGAAGAGGTGGGAGCTGTTGGTTCTGTTGTTGTCTTAGTGCCTCAGTCAATAATTCAACTATTCTTTCAAATCTTGCAATTCTCGTTTCAGATGATTCAGGTTCATCTGTATTCCTTGCATTCTCCATTGCACTATATACAACACAGTAATAATAAACATAGGAAAAATAGCTTACTTATGCACATTAGCACATATATACCTATCATGACCACACACACTTTCTTATGCTCATGCAATGCCCTAATTACTTTTCTAGGACATCCTATAGCTCATTTGGACACATATGTGTGGTATAACTCGTGCTCTGATACCACTCTGTCACGACCCAAACCCGCCCTTAAGGGTTTAGCATCGTAACTGGCCAGTAATCTGTGATTACCAAAGGCCTGCTTAACAGTATTGATAATAATATAGTATAAAGGGGGCTGACGGAAGCCAATCAATAATAAGATGATGTTCAATGAGCTGTAGGGACCTGAATGGAAATAAACTTTCATGCATATAGCCGTATTCACAACCACTTATACCAAAAATACATATGTAAGCCATTATGCAAGTTAAGGACATAATCCCATCATCAAAAACTGTATAAACAGGAGTCTTAAACATTCTTTACATTAGCAAAGACAAAAGGGCTAATTTAAGTCACCTAAAAAGCCTTGACTGGTGAAAGTTCGGAACCTCATTATGAGGTACAATGGATGGCTTGACAAAACGTGAGCTCGGGTCAACACCTCTAGCTTTGATCCGATGCCTGGCCACTTATATATATATACAATAAACTGTGAGCTAAAACCCAGTGAATAACGAATGTGTAAAGGGGTTAAGAATGAATGTCCTTTCAGTAATTGAAATAGCCAATTGCATCTGTAGATCAGTTATTCAATCAATTCCTCATATTTCATGTCGTATTAGTCATTTAGAAGTCATAGCAGTCATACGTGGTACATCCAATAGCAGAACAGTACAGTAGGCCTTAATAGACCGAACAGTCAGTTGATGGCCATCAATACAGTAACAGTAGTTCCAAGGATAGGAACTGACAGAGATCTCTGTAACAGTAGCAGTAACAGTAACAATCAGTTGCTATGGATGCCACGAGTACAGTTTATAAAATAGGACAAACATTCATTCGGTAAACGATATCATTTTAGAAAACAGTACAGTCAATCGTTCAGAAAGTAATTATAATTGAACGTAGCTTTACAACATTGTTACTCACAGATAACAGGGCTGCAAGCAGACTATTCAGCTTTCTTGAGGTGCGTAACCTACATAGTTACAGAACGAACATATACTAAATTACACACCCAGAATTGATAACTTAGTCCTTTCTACTTGTTTTGGTGTGGTTCTACTTCATTATCCTCATTATGATCTCTTAATCATGGCCTAGGAATGCCTAGGATGGAAAGAGGATGCAAAAATGTACTTGAAAATATTTTTCAAAACTTGCTGAAAACAGGGGTCTCGCTCGAGCGTAGTTTTCTTTGCTTGAGCGAACATACCGAATGTGAGTGGTCGCTCGAGCGCACACTCCTTCGCTCGAGCGGTCTGCAAAATGTGAAAAAGTTCTGGTTGCGTGCAATCTCCGCTCGATGGTCGCTCGAGCGTGAGACACAGGTCCTCGCTCGAGCCCAAGTCTTGTCGCTCGAGCGTGCTTCCAAACACGCAAACTTCTGAGAGCATGCAATTTAGCTCGAGCCAACCTTTTGTCACTCGAGCGGAAGTGTGAAAATAAAGGTGGTCGCTTGAGCGTGGAATCCTTCGCTCAAGGGTGAAAGCAAAATTCTGGGTTTTCCAGATTTCCTCCCAAAGTTCAAAACATAAATTCAACACTCCAAAACTCATCCTTTTGGGTCAAAATTCTGGAAAACACTTGGAAACTCACAACACATGATGATTTAAAGATCATTTCATAAAATCAAAGCCCAAAAGCATGCCAATTGTACACAAATTCAACTTAAACTTTATGAATGTTTCAAGAATATAACATGCATGAATTCTCTTGAACTCCACCACTTCAAAACATGATCAAACTTGGCAAATTGATAGAAAACATGATGATTTCCTACAATTAAGCTCAATCTGTGACATGCATGAGAGAATTCTTAGCAAACATGCTCCAAATGTAATGAAATGAACATGCATGCATGGATTAATCTTGCTTCCTACTTCTTAAGCTTAATTCTTACATCTCATAGCTCAATTCACTTGAATTCATAGATGAATCAACTCAATTTCAAGACTAGAGACTTGGCTTCTACCTTAGATGTTCAATTGGGCCTTAGGTGCTAAATTCTTGAGCTAGATGATCAAATCTCCAAAGTTTCTTCTTCTCCCCTAGCAATTCCTCTTGTTTGAGTTCAATTCTCAAGCCTAGGACCTAAATCTTCCTACTCTCTCCCCCTCTCACGTTTGAGCATCTTTTAAGGAGAATAGAGGTATAGAGTTGAACTAGTGGGGTCAATAAAATGGCTCACTAGGTGGTAGATAAACAAAGTTAATCAAATGGCATTAAATTAATCTAATTTAATCATTCCGAACCGAATTTTAATTGAACCTACCATAAAATTCTATAAATCCTAATTAACATATAAATCAAATCAATTTATGAATCAGTTGCCGATAAGGCTTTCAATTCGCAAATCGAAATCGAAACATGAACAGGTTTTTCTACATCAAACATATAAAAATGCATTTAAAGCAACACACTCATGTAATTAATTTAGGATTTTGTCTTAATCATTTACTTAGCATGCTTAATCATGAATTAGTTGTCACACTCTTAGTGGCTGCAAAATCTATTAGCATTGCCAACTTGTCTAAGTCTGGACACTTACTGTTTCCACACCTGAGTGTGAGACATAAGGAGGTGTTTCTTTATATGATTCCTTAGCTAGGCTAAATGCTTTTGAATGACGTTTACCTCTAAGCGCAAAAGTTGCAGCACAGTAATGAAAAGGCCAAGGCCTACAAGGTTGTTATGACTCTAAGAATTTGATGCATCACTTGTGAGAGCATTGTGTTAGATTAGACTCTTTAGCCTAATTTGCGCTTAAGTTATTTCAGGAGCTGTCATAGATTGATAGCTCATTCTCTTATTCTTGTGGATAGTAGAATTAATTGCAACTAACTATGAAGCGAGAAATATAGATGGAAAGAGGAGTATCGTCATGTTTCAACTAGATGCAGTAAAGTGTATAGAGAATAAAATTGACTTGAAGGTGCAGGGGATTAGCACTTACTAGTTAAATTTTCGACTTAGACGCACTTGTTATCTCCATGACATCCTTTTATGATCTAGTGAACATGAATTAGTCATGAGTCATTACCTAGTTGGGCCTAAACCTTTACACTTGTCTTTAAGAACTCACACATTAGGATGATTGGAATTAGTTTATGACATTGGTCATGAAACCGGTGGCTTATTATACTTAATCACATTAATGAGAAGATGACATGGATGGTTTGTGTGATAACCCTGCCCCGTGTTATACTAATTGATCTTAATTATAATGGTGATTACATGCTTGATATGGTTTTGAATGATAATTATATGATTATATGTGTTTTTGTATGTTTATCTGTTCACCGTAGGAAAATCTATTTGATTTTTCTACTTTAGAATTTAAATTGAAGGCCGTAGAGGCATCAGAAATTGAAATTGACTATGCCGTTGTGATTAGCGTAATTTTTAGAGCCTACGGTGAAATTTAATTGAAAATTGATTCGGATCAAATTAATTAGATTAAATTGATTTAATTGTGCTCAATTAACTAATGTTAATGAAACTTGATTTAAGGGTGTGTATATAAAGGGGGCCAAACACACTTAACCTCTTTTTTGGAGCTCAAAATCTGATTATGTACTCTAGAGAGAGAGAGAGTACACGACTTAGAGAGAGAGAGAGAGAGGCCAAAATTGAAGATTTTGCTAAGAGATTGGAAGACTAAGGGAATTGGTACAAGATTTATCTACATTTGTGAGAATTGGAGCTTCTAGGTGAGTATTTGAGGTCAACTTCATGAAATTAAATTCATAAATAAGTGAATTCAAGCAAGATGTGTAAGTGAGGGCAAGAATTGAGTTGATTATGATGAAGTTGAAGTCTATATGCACATGCATATTTAGAATTGCCATGAATTTGCATAATCAAGCATGAGACATGATGAACAAGAAGAATTGAGCACCAAATTTAACATGCATGCATAATTTTCATGAGTTTCATGACTATAAGTATCATTTGTACCATTTGAAATAGAATTGGAGTAAAAAATTAACATGCATGCATGGTTGATGAAGATATGAAGTTTGTATGAGGTTGAATGCATGAGTTTTGAAATTTATGAAGAGAATTCAAGATAATTCATGAGGTGGACCATGATCTTAGTCAATTGGTGCCAATTACTTATGTTCTTGTGTTATATAATGTCCTTCTATGCTTTCATATAAAAACCATGAGTTTTGGAGCCTTTTTGGGTTGAGTTTGAGCTTCAAGAACAATTCTGGAAATTCCAGAATTCGTCGGGTCCATTCGAGTTGGAAAAGCGCCGCTCGCGCGTAAAATGTCAGCTCCTAGAAGTTTTACAGACATTGATGTCCGCTCGAGCAGGGGAGAGTTAAGCTCGAGCGCCCAGTTACATATTTTGACTCTTAGCTCGAGCGTCCAAAGTCACGCTCGAGCGCAAAAACGAGGCAACTAGTACTTTTGTAGGCAAAAAGGGTTTGCTCGAGCGGCCAAAGATACGCTCGAGCGGGGAGCCCAATTTTAGAAAATTTTGACAAGGCGTTTTATGTTTTGTTTTTCGTTTCCTTTCATATCTAAGTACTCTTAGGCATGCATTGAGCTTTGTATATGACCTAAAAGGATAAGAAAGAGGCCTAAGAGAAAGAAATAAATTAAGAACGGATTGAATCGTTTGTGACCCAATATGTGTTATGTAATGTGTAGGGTCGAGCATAAGGGCGAATCCACCGGCAGAATACTGTGAGTAATATTTTAGTAAAGATATTTTGAAGTATGCTATTTGTCCAAATGCTTACTCCTATTTGAGTTTCATAAGTTTATTAATTTGAATTGTGGACAAATATTCGTTACGCTATATGATTGAGCCAAAGGCTGTT